CCCCTAATGTCAATTATAATCCTTTAGCCAAGAGTGAGGATAGTAATGGATGTTATCGTTACCACAAACAACTAAGGTTATATCTCGCAGCCTTCTATTAATTAGCCCTCATGACCCCTGACCTCTTGAGAAGTTTGCACTGCCCGCAGTTGTCAAGTCATAAACTTGTCACTTCATGTGTTGCGCGCCCGCCGACTTGCACCTCCAACCTAACCGCTCAATCGTCCATCAACGAACGAGGAATTCGAAATTGTCCAGCTGCTCACCACAATATGGAGTGTTCCAGTTGGGTGTCCACTCTAGATACCCCTGTCATCTCTCTCTTTACTTCATAATCTTGCAGTACACGCCCTGGAGAATGATTTTCGTAACCCGTTGGACTGGGAATGATTATTCGAATTATGAGAGAGGGGGTGGGGGGTGATGGGCGGGGGTGGTTGCATGGCTTAACTTGGTCTGCCCTTTACCCTAGACTTGAAGTTTATGGCCAAACACGATGTACTAATCTAACGCCCCATCCACGCTCTCTTTTAACTGTTCTAATATGTTAGTTGCTTTGGATAGTTGTATGCTAAAATTGTTTCCTCGTCTTTAAGCCCTAATAGTAGTAGTCGTGTTCATGCAGTTGAGGGGGACAACGGCTGGGATTCTCTCCCCTCCATCATATCGATTAAAACTAATGAAGCACCGTTATAGAAAGCTATACGCCATTCATAGGGAAGGCGAATTCTAGCCCAAACGACGGCCTCTCAAGTAAAAGCAGTAACTTCCCTTCAACATGACAACGAGAAGACGACAGATGATTTACTGGCTGGTTAGTCAACGACTGCAGTGTCTTGCATATCGAAGTTGGAGAAGTTCACTCTAATGCATCGAAAATATCCTATTCGGATTCCTTACATTTATCGAATTTTCTTTTTTTCAAGATATTGAAGCATTGAATTGGCAATTGCAGTAATTCATCATTATTTTTGCAGACACTTTGGGGGAGCTGGGCTCTCATCGGGCCGAAGCACCGTGTGTGGTTCGGGGGCGACACAGGGTACTGCAGTGTCTTTAAGGAAATTGGTGCACACATTGGCCCTTTTGATGTTGCCGCAATTCCTATTGGTGCATACAAACCGAGGTGAGTTTGATCGAACCGAAATTTAAACGACACACACACAGAAATTTCCTCTTGCCTCTCTCATATACTTTTTTTTAAAAGATGGGTGTTGAAGTCCCAGCACGTAGATCCAACTGAAGCAGTTCAAATCCACTCAGATATTAAAGCCAAGCATTCCATTGGTATCCATTGGGGAACTTTTCCCCTTTCCAAGGAGGTAAGTTATCATTTTGAGCAAATTGTGAGTAAAGAACGCTTACTTTCCCTCATCATTCCCCCCTCCCCCCTCCCTTTCAGTCATACTTGGCACCGAAATACGATTTGGAGGTGGCGGTTGAAAAAGCTGGGCTCACCAAAAGTGACTTCAAGACAATATTCCATGGACAGTCATACTGCTATCATCGTGATAGGAATGACACCGGTTTTGTTGAATAATGATTGATGAACCTATCTTAGTGCCAATTTTCTTGATTACCATAGTTTCCATTAAACGCAAGCCTCATCTGCCTCCCAGCCTTTAATCCTTTCAATGAGAATTGCAAGGGTCTATGACGTGTATTGAAGTGTTTGCCATCAGCGCTTCACTAATTTTATCAGCAAACTCAAGGATAGTTCAGTATTATCTTTCAATTTGTCATATCACAACAGCAGAAACTTGACTTTTGAGTATTCTCAAGACCATGGAAGGGACTTGCCATAAAAACAATTGAAGAATACATATAATTACGGGACAATTACAATCCGATTCGCTTGTACTTACAGCAATCTCTCTTTTACTTAAATTGCAATTAATAATGCATAAGAGCTTGCCATAAGTGAAAATAGAAAAGAAACTCAACAGGTACCTTTTCCATTCAGATTCTAAACGTTTCAAAAGCTTAGTGGATGTCTGGTTTTATCAAATCTACAATTATATCATGATAAATGATCACATATAAAGATTATCCGACAGAGGGCATGAACAAACTTTATTTATTTCAAATGGCAGGCTTTATGATATTTATCATTAGCCCTTAATCTTTGACTTCAGCTTCCCCCAAGAGGGAGGTGGGTATATTTATAGCATTTAATCAATAGCAATTCATTAGCTGTCTTCTTGCTTCCCAGTATCTCTGGCATTCCGTCGTTGTCTTTAGGGCTGGACACCGAACCAGGTGGGTCTTCTCCATTTCCTCCTGTAGGTTACATAGAGGGCATGTGGGTTGAGAGTAGACTCCCAATCTGTGAAGGTGTTTTGCCAAGCAATCGTGTCCGGTACGTAGTCTGAACTCAGCAACGGCTTCGATTCTTGGCCAGTCGGGTATGTCGGAGAGTGCCACTGTCCACTGTTTCTCCTTTGTTCGAGCTTTGAGTTCGTTGTACCTTGAGGTCTGGAAGTCTCTTCTGATTAAGGCCTTCATTGTGTGGAAAGACATCGGCGGTCCATGCCTTGCAAAATCGTTGTCCCCTTCTTAGCAAGTGTGTCAGCAATCTCATTGCCTTTAATGCCACAGTGACCAGAAATCCATTGTATGACCACTGTTTATTTTTTCTCTCTCAGCAGCTGATGGAGTTTTCTACATTCCTTTGTCTCAGCTGTTTTGGGTGGCTCTCCACTTCCAATTGAGTTTGTTGCTGACTGTGAGTCCGAAAGTATCCCCGCTTTGGTGAATTTCGTATCCAGGCAGCATAATTGGCATAGTGCTATCCTAATGGCCTCTATTTCTCCTTCAGAAGCGGATCTATTATGTCCCGCTGCTGCGTAGAAAGAGAAGAGTTCAGAATAGACACCTGCACCAACGTTTGCTTGGCTTTCTATGTATGACCCATCAGTGAAGACTTGGAGCCATTGATCTGTAGGATAGTTGACATTGATTGTCTCAAGGGCCAGTGAGCGCATTTGCTCGGGAGGAGTGTTTGATTTCCTGAAGAAGTCGCGCAGTTGGGTGCGACACACTACATCAATGTCTGCTAATGGGTTCATGGGGAGAGAGAGGCTTTTTGGTTTATCATCGATTTGTAACGCTTTCTTCAGTTCTATGGCTTTCTGTATTAGACCAGATTGCGTTTTCAGATGTCTTGGTCTATTCTCATAGGTGCTGAAGAATTTGTCCATGGGAATGCGCAGTAGCTTCTCATACAGGACCAAGGCCTTTTCTTTGATAAGGGAGCCTATTGTGGTGTTTCCTGTAACTTGGAGCATTGCATCAATGGGTGTTGATTTTATCCCTCCGTTGAAGTCTCCTAATACTATAGTTTTGTGTGAGATGTTCAGAAAGTCAAAGTTTGGACAATTCTGGGGAGGATTATAGACTGCATATATCTTGAAGTGGTTTTGACATTTCCAAACATTTAATCTGATTATTTCACATTTGTCTTGTGTCAAGCCCTTACTCTTGATTAGGCCGTAGTGTGAGGTGAGGCCATCTTTTACTCCAGTTAGAATTCCACTTGCAACTTGCCGGTATTTAGGTAGATTGTACAGG